GTGTCACTCTGAGACGGGATGTTTCTAATTTTAGAAATATTGGGCAATAGAAGAAAGCAGTCATACAATAGGTTTAATACGTGCATTGAAGCTTAACCTGGTCAAAAACGGTTTTGTTCATCACTACCCGAGTCACCTGTTCTTTTTATCCAGGAGACATTGTGTGTTAAAGATTTGTTCTCAGCCCTCTCAAAAGAGAGCTTCACACTCACTTTGCAAAGAAAACCTACATTAAAACTTAATGTACATGAGAGAAAATCTATTTATGATCCTGGTAATAAACTGGCCCAGAACTGTACGATTAAAGAGTGATTAAAGATATTCCATATTTGTATTTTAAGAAGCTATTCTGCATGTAAATCACTGTATAACAACCACTTCTTCATTTCAGTGTGGGAGTTTAGAGGCTTTCATCTGTTTATGCATGTTGAGCATGTCCAGTTGAAGGAAGACAGTCTAATATTTCTTTTATATTTTCCAACCACAGAAGACCCTGTTATCAAAGACTACATCCTCAACCACTGATGAAGACTAACTGGGAAACAGTATTTGTCATGTTGATGTGATTTAAGAAGCGAGAGAAGAAGCGATGAGTTTAAGTGCAGCAGCGAGTGGATTGGTCCTCTTCCTTCTCTCTCTAACAGGTTTATGTGTACCTGGTTTTCACACACTCAGTATCTGCAGGAGTTACTTTTTAATGTAAAATTACAATACATAAGGGATTTATTTTTGTAGACCCAGTACATCTCTCTCTATATCATCTATATCTACATCTATCGATAGATATAAATAGGTTGTACCTAACTGGACAATTTCTATAATAGTTTAATATGTGGAAAGCTGATCTTTATCTATTAATGTTCTGAAGACAGACATTTCAGACATTTGGCTGAGAACAACAGTTGTTAAATATTTTGTAAAACAGAGATGAAGCACAACTTCATTTTTTCTAATGTGATGAAGTGTGCTTGGTCTAAATCCGAATGTCAGAATCAGAATTTCTCTCTGCATATAGTTGAACTACAAATAAAACTGTTTATTGTTGTTGTAATGAGTCTGACTGCGTTCTGATGTGTTCTGTGTTACAGTGGTGCAGAGTCAGGATGGTTGGGGAGTGACTTACACTTCTACTCAGATCTGTGCTGTAAAAGGATCAACAATGGTCATAGGCTGCTGGTTCAATTACCCTTCAAGAGTAAATGTGTTAAAAGTTTGGTTCACTAAAGGGAACAATTATAATCCTGAAGATCTGAAAACAGACCCAGTATATGCAGGTCGAGTGTCGTACAGCTGTGGGTGGAAGAGCTGCACTCTGACAATCAGAGACTTGAGAGAGAGCGACTCAGCTGTGTACATGTTCAGGTTTTTAACAAACCGGAAAGATTTTATTGGTTTACCTGGAGTCACCCTGAATGTCACAGGTAACATTTTTATTTACACATCAGTCAAAACCTATTATTACCACGACTGTGTGCATTTGCATTATTGATAATAGATGTCCAAGTTTCTGCTCTGATTTTATTTCTTCACATAATCAGCTCTTCAGGTACACGTGGACACATCATCATATCCTGACTCAGCAATACTGACTTGTCACAGCAGTTGTCGACTACATGATCGTCCCTCCTACATCTGGTACAAAAATGGTCAGAAAATTTCTAATCAGTCAGACCAGTACTGGTATCCAGACAATCTGAATTCTTCAGATAGCTACTCCTGTGTTGTAACAGGTTATGAAGATTTCCCCTCTCCTTCAGTGTGTGAGTTTATTTCAGTAACATAAAATCATCTTGTAGAGTCACTACATACATCTGAATAAAA